CCACATAGTTCATGCTCCAACCATGGCAAAGTTAGCCACGTTGTCCCTCTGGCTATAGGAAAGCTATTCATGGCTAACCTTGCAATATTTATGCAATATCCCAAATTTTCTGACATTTTAGACGTATATATGTGTACATGAATATATTAGTATAAGTAAATTTAAATTTAAGTTAGGGATTTATATGGGAGGAATTTTTATTATTGGGTCTAATAACTAAAATTTACAAACCTAAAGGGGTTAGAAGTGAAATCCAGTTATAAAAAGGGACTAAGCTGATTTGCCTGTTTCTTTCCTTGCCTTTTTCATGACTCTGCAGCCCTAATCCTTAGCTTGTACCCAACCTCTATTCGTCAGAAAAATAGCTGAGACTAAGCTTTTTCTTCCTTCTCTGAGCAAGATATAGAGATTAATAGGCTTATGGTTCTTAAAATTATGATAAAAACCCGGATCTTGCTACTGGTATCCTTCCAATCTTTCGGTCCGTGTCAGGTTCTTTACAGTGCAAGAGAGGTCAGGATTTTCCAACACTTTCTAGTAAGAAATCAGTCATATGATCATCTTTTCATCTTTGATTTGAGTTAGGTTAACTATAATCCTTTAGGGTTTTCAATTTTGTGATTTTTCTGTAGTTTTCCTCCTTGGTTTTGCCTTAGTGCCACCAAATCTGATTCCTTTTGCTAGAAATTCTAACAACATGACCATTCAGTGGTGATTTGTCCATAAGTCTTTTTGTAGATATCAGATTAAGTTCATTCTTGATTCTGTAGAAAGTAAGAGAGAGCCCTACAATTTTTTTGTTAGACATTTAACCTAGTTAAGCTATTTTCATGGTAAAAACTCTGCTGCAAATTCTATTCTGGTAGGTAGACAGAATTGGCAGCCCGACCCTAAGTTAGTATTTTGGCCGTAACTTTCTATGTAGATGTCAGATTAAGGTAATTCTTGATCCTATAGAATGCTAATACATAGGGTTACAATTTATCTGTTGACCACTTAACTCAGATCGATCCATTTCTAGGCACAAATTCTATTGAAACTTTTGGTTCAAAATCTAACCAGAACTTTCCTAGAAATTTGTTTTGTTTTTTGCTCAATTCCCACATTATTTGTTGCCATATCGCATCATGGTTTTATTAGACTTTTAACTGTTGTTTTTTTCCTCTAAAACCACTTGTTATTACTTTTTTTAGGCTGCCTTTTTTGCTGTTGCTTTTCTACTTAAATGATGTCCATTTCAACCTAATTTTTGCTTGTAATCTACCCTGTTTGCTGCTGTCTTTCTGCCTAGAAATCCCTGT